TATCCACTTTACCACTCCCCTTTCTATATATATGTATGTTTTCTTTTTTCTTTTTTTTATAGGTGAAATCATTCATCCATCCATTGAATATCCTTATAGTTGGTTAAATCTTAAAGAAAATAAACATGGATATAGTTTATTAGGATTAGTAACTAATCATATAACACCTATACCAAATGGTAAATGGAATTTACAATTATTAGGACCTGGTATCATTGGTAATGAAAATCTTCCTAAACCATTAAATACAACATTAAATTTATGGTCAAATTTTCATATTATTGAATTAGAAGATTATTATGAACCAAATTGGAAAAATCTATTATTTCGACGTAGAATTATAGTAAGTTTATTTCTATAGTAACTACCTTATTTGTTGTTAGGGGATTGTTTTTAAAAATAGGTAACCCTGAACAACTATTTCATTTAAGTCTATGACTGATTAACAAAGTATGTTCATAACTCTGTCTTTGGATTGAACATAAGAGATCTAGAACCTTTATTAGACTATGAGGCTTAGGTTTAAACATTGATATGTCTAACTTCAGTCAATTCATGACATAACTATTTCATTCTAGTATGTGATTTATCAACACAACATGTTCATAACCCTGACTTTGGATTGAATATAGAAGACCCCGAACCTTTAGACTACTAAGTATGGATGTAAAGATTTCTATTTCTAAATTCAATCAATTCTTGAATTCTATAGCTTATAGGTTCTTATTCGAATTTCAGCAATTACTAGTAAACATATGATGATTGTTATGATAGGGTATATATTCCAGTTTATGTAATTTGAAGTTCATATTATCAATCTCATATAGCGTCATTGTTCACTTCTATGGAGAAGTAAGTTATGAAGAAACGATTGTTAAGTGCTATGTAGATTTCAATGGTTCTCTATCTGATAACAACCTATAATTAAAGATAATTATTTTGACAGTTATCGAATAAGCTAAATAAAATTAGAGTTGAACTCATGAGTCCACCATAGAAAACCTGGAAACACTAGACGGCCGTCTCGTCTTAGTATGGGACTCCTCAATAGTGAGCATTCACTATCCCGTACACGGGATTCAAGCACAGGATCTATCAATCTCACGCGAGAACGCTTAACCACTAGACCACTGAGCCGACTGGTACGTAACGGTGTTAATGTCTAACTTCAAACAATTCACGAAATCTCACCACTGTCCATCATTGTCATCAGTGAGTGACTATCACACAACAGACCCGTTTGAACTTCACCGTTCATTGCTTCTCACTAGAAGAACTCCATGAAATATCTCTTGAAACCAGTCACTAGTGAGCATATGTTGATGAATATCAGAAGAGGTTTTTATGAATATTATAATAATTTCAATAGTTGAGATCATGAGTCGATTGAAGCTAGATCACCATGGAAAATCTGGAAGAAAACAACCACTTATTCGCCGTGACCAGTGGAGCTAATCCATGTCGGGTAGAGATAGGTATCTGTCTCAGTACAATGGAAGATGGTCGCGCGATTTCGTGGATTTGTTGAAGTTGGACATTAACACCGTCGCATGCCGGCCAACTCAGTGGTCTAGAGGTTAAGCGTTCGCGCTCGAGACCGAAGGCCCTGGGTCCGAATCCCACGAGCGGGATCATGGATGCGCACTGCTGAGGAGTCCCACAACAGGACGAAACGGCCGTCCAGTGCTACCAGGTTTCCAAAGGTAGTCTAACATCAATCGGTTCATGATCTCAATCAAAAAATTCTAACCATTTATATTTATATTTTTTCTCATTTACTAATAGGCTTCTAATGATAGTTTGATAACGGTTCATTTACGATTATCTGTACCAAATGTTTATACACGTTTATGCATTAAAATGGGCAATAAAGAAATGATCTCTGCTGAAGGTTTTGGTGCAGCATGTATTTTTGCTTATATTATATTAGCTGATACAATAATAGATGACAAAAATAGTCAAACATCTAATTCAGGGCGTCTATTAGAAGTGAATAAAGGTGACAATGTCAAATTAAGTATAAAAGATGTGACCAATTCAAAAGTTATATTGAATAAATTGAATAGTACTAAAGTACCTCCAAGAAGATCTGCATCAGTGAAGAAAAATATGAAACCGGGAGTAAGTTGAATAAATTCTATCAATGAAAATAATTACGTATTTTATGTAATCAATCCATTAGTTATGACGTTGCATTCATCATGGTTACTAATCTCATAGAATATTCAAACGTTTCCAACCTTACAAAAAAAACAGAACATTAGAAGGTCTGATGAATGATTGCAAATAGTTAATTGAAGCCAGATCTGGGTTCGAATCCCGCGAGTCAGGGTCGTGGATGTGCACTGCTGAGGAGTCCCACAATAGGACGAAACGGTCGTCCAGTGCTTCCGGGTTTTTCATCGTGGTCTAGCTTCAATCGACTCATGATCTCAATTATTGATATCTTTTATACTCTCAATGGAGTATAGACCGCCGGCTAGCATTCTCCGACTCACTCTGTCCTGAACCTTTCTTTCTAGTCCTATTCAATTTTTTTAATTCTTCTTATGTCTGTCTCCATTTCTCGGTATAATGTAATCTTTGGTTTTCTTCTTCTCCTTCGGCCTAGAGGATTCCAAATGAGGACTTTCCTCGTGACGCAGTTGGGTGATTTCCTCAATGTGTGTCTTATTCACTTCCAGCGCTTCTTTCTCGAAAAATACGATGACCAGAAAAAAATAACTCATTACAAATAATAACTTTATATAATGAAATAGCGACATAGTTATGGATGAAAAGCTGGGTAACACATTGATTGTTAATCAGCTATCATTTACAAATGGTAAAGAATAAAGTAACAATTGATTAGGCAAATGAAAACTTATAATCAAGGTTTTTCGAAAATTCCATAAACCAACTAAGTAATAAGCAAAGATGGATGGTGACTAGCAGTAGAATACAGGATAACGCGATGACGTTTGAAGCGAACGGTACTAAGTATGAGTCTCGGAGTAAACATCAACTCTAGGATGCAGGTACGTCCAGTTGAAGAGTCTCAAATAGGACGAAACGCGCTACCTGGATTCCATTATCAGCCATCATCCACCTTTACTTATAATGCTTGTGCAGTAAGGTAATATCGAGGCAATCCCTACAGTATGCACATTAGCCAACAAGAGACTGATCAATTGCAGTCCTAAACATCAATGGTAAGATACAAATAAACAATACCAAATCAACTAATTAATAGATTTATATTAGAGTGATACGAACTAATTCTTCAAATATTAGCTTCCAGAGTTTTTATACAGTTAGAAGCTAATTTTCATGAGAACTAGAAGTTACTTAATAATAATTTTGTGCTTACTAATGAGTAGTTTCGGTATGAATTTCTAGAAGTCTTTAAAATGGTATACTTAGATTATTTAGACCATTTAACCTGAGAATGAATTATAAGCTCACTAGTGACATTGGTTAGGGATCATATTATGTCACATATTATTTGTAGCTGGGAATTTGGATTAGTGCATTCAATGACTTGGCATTATTATACTAGCTGCCAAACGTCAAGATTCTGGGATCTATCCAGCTTAAGGTTGTGTCTATACACAACTGGTTAGTGACAAACTAAGACAAAATAGTTGGAGTCTCTTGTTTCAGTAAATTTTGAATTGGGTTCTAATCCCATAGGAATAATAAGTTCTACTAGAATGATCACTGTAAACATCTCAGTAGTGATGTCTCAGATTGTAAGGTTATATGACGCACGATCAAGTTTACTAAGGGACACCAGTTTACTAAGAGTTACAGGTATTCTTTGTTAACGAGATATAAATAACACAAAGCCTGGTTCTAGAGCTTCCAGTCGACTACCTCCGACCACTTCAAACATTTACTGAGAAAAATAATCAGTACGGTCACCTTAGTAATTACGGCGTTGTATCGAACGAACAACAACAGTATATAATAAATATATTTATATGTAGTAGTGAAATACAGGAAGCGAGTTTCATCCTGTTTGAGATTCGTCAGCTGGATGAGCCAGCAGCCTAATGTTTATATTCATATTTGAAATTAAACTCAGTACCTTCCTCGACAATTTACCATTATGATGGGTTTTAATTCTTTCATAATACTGAGTAAGCACATACATTTGGGTATCATAATTATTCACTTCAAACAAATGTAAAACAGAATAGTTATTTAGAAAGATATTGTACAATTGGAAAATAGGTAATGCGAACGTTTAAACATAAACTAAAAACTTTAAATGAAGACATTCTAACTTTCAGAGCAGAGTTTAAATGGTTTGAATTATCTTTAGCGAGTTCGTTTTCTACGGGATGGGGTTGCTAACCCCATGCCCAACCCTCCTTTATTTGAGCTTAGGATCGGCAGTAGCCCAAGAGGGGCTTCAGGCGGAGTTAAACGTTTGAACAGGTTGCCATTATTTTCTAATATATTTGATAACTTTACTTAACTTAGTATTCTACTCCTTTTGAATAATTAACAACAATGTTTCCTCTATACAAATCAATTCATAATTTAGAGTAGTTCTGGCAGTTCAACTGGTGGTAGTACAACAGGAAGTGGTCGAGGTTCTAGTAGTACTAATAGTGCTAATATAGAGCGATCAAATCAATATGAACAATTCAATTCCAGTTCACCTTATTCACATAGATCAGATAGTCAGCAAATAGAAGGAGAAAAAGAAGAAGAACGATATTATTGGATTGAAGCTTATGTAGATGGTAAAAATTGGCCATTGAGTATAAGTAATTGGGCATTTTTAGAAGAACAGCGTTGTAATAAACTTGAAGAGTGTCAAGGTTAATTATTGATTACTTTATTTGTTCTTTCTTTCTTTCTTTGTTTGTTTATTTGATATTGAAGCAGATAATTTAAGTAAGTTTTATGAAAACAATTGTCCATGGTTTGATCAAGGCTATTATACACTGATTGATCAGTCAGTCAGTCAACAACAATGTAGAACGTCGTACGTATGTACGTACGTACGTACATCAGTTCGAGTTTCTATACCACATCAGCACACACATACAATTGTCCAGTCAAATCCCATACTGGTAGAAGTAGTAAAAGTATAAGAAGTAATCGGAAACATTACGGTTTGAAAATGTTATTCAGGGAGTACAACCCAGTGAAATAAAGTTGCAAAGAGAAAAAAAATAAAAGGACATGAAGAATTCAGAAGATTATAACGTGGGAGAACATAGAGAGTGGATGCACCCGCACCATTGCAAACGATTATGAACCATGTCACTCAAGGTCTCTAACCATCAGTTACTATCATCTCGTGGATCCCAATCAGGTAGTATACACCAACGAATATGGCTCAGTCCACTTGTCAGTGACTTCATAGATTTGTGTCATGTTTGGTTCTGGCTACCCTTAGCTTTCTTCCAACCTACTCCTACATCATAAAACATTACATGTTAGAGCAATCGGTGGTCGGGCATATGTAACACATGTCCCAGCCATCTCAACCGATGAAGTTTCACCAATTCATCAATTGATTTGCCGTCCTTATCTATTACTCGTTTCCTAACAACTGGATTACTTACTCGGTTGTTCCAGGATATAGAATTATTGATTCGAAGACACCATTGATACTGATTTATCAAACTCATTCTTGTCTAGTTTTAGTGTGTTGGGTTCATTAAGCTTGAATGGTACTACTGATTCGGCATATTCGGAACTAGACAGGTATTGCAATCTAATTCTGCCTCTAAATCCACGCGATCGTTCATTCTTGGACACTGTCCAGTTATTGAGCCAACAATTCGGAGACAACTCACTATTCAATGCGCGCTATCGATGTTTGAAGTTCACTATGAATGAAGATGATGATTTTCTCACACATGTAGGTATCGTCAACCAAGAATGTGAACGCTTCCGGTCGAAGTCGCTTACTGAAGACCAACTTAAAGCACTCATTCTCATCTGCAGCCTTCAATCGCAGAAGTCCAGTGACATTAGAACACGCTTGCTAAGTCGTTTGAATCAAGATCCAAAACTAACCCTTAATGATATTGCAAACGAATATCAACGCCTAATCAACCTACAGCGTGATACTACGATGGTACAGAGTGGTGGTTCAGATCGTGCCGAAGTTCATGTAGTCCAACAACCACCCAACTCGCATAAAACTACCACAGCGACATCTAGTAAGCTTTGTATCTGTTAACATCTGAATAAGTTTCATCTGCTGCTCGAGTAATAATTCAAGTTTAGAAAGATCCATGTTCCCGAAACCACCGTCGCCAAATTGTTAGGTTCGTTAAGCTGGAATGGTACTACTGATTCGGCTTATTTGGAACGGAACGAAGGATCAGGATTCAGAGATTCGATGGGCTATTCTGGTCCGTTGTCCCATCAAGAAGTCTTGGTAAGACGTAGAAGTGTATTCTACAGGCAACCAGCAGATACCAAGTCATATCAGGTCAAGTCAAGTCAATCAGGCACACAAGTCAAGCGTATTTATACAAATATTTATAATCGATATTGTCATCGATGACCAGTGTGGAATTGCTTTAGCACGCTTGATCTTACGGACTCTGGTACCACTACTCTATCTCCAAACATCAAGCATTCTTTTACGACACATAATGAGTCCCGACGGTGGTAAAGCTGCTTCAAGTCACCATCGAGTCCAGTTGGCGGCCAGCCATTGGTGACGCATTTCATCGCTCTCTTTACGATGGAGTCGTTCTTGGATGCAGATTGTATTTCAGCTGCTGAGACTGGCAAAGCACGAGTAGCGGTTGTCAGGCAACACTGAGCGTGGTCCTCTGTCATTAGGGAGGCAATAACTGCATCTTCGCTGGCCGTGGGGTGTTCGCTGATAAGTCGTGACAAGGCGTCAGCCTAACCAAACTGTTGAGTGTGCCGGTACTGAGTGTCAAAATCATAACCCAGAAGTATCAAAGCCCATCGCTGAAGACGGTTTGCGGAATGGGCTGGAACATCAGATTTCGAACCGAAAATTGTGATCAGTGAGAAGAGTAAATCTTCGACCGTATAAGAACTTGCAGAAACGGCGTACTGCAAACACAAGGGCGAGAGTCTCTTTCTCTATTCGACTGTAAAATAGATGGGGCTGTTTTAACACCAAATGGTAG